TTCAATGACTGATTCATACTCATTTAGTCTTAAGTCATGGACAGCAATCCTCACAATGTAGCACCATTTATCCCACTGGCTACCTGTATTTCCAGCCTTCTGAACAATGTCCTTGGCAAATGTTATGCTTTTTATCCCAAATTGTTGATTATCCTAAGGAGGACCTCCCTTGTATGATTGTTCCCCTTATTAAAAACTAAACCAAACTCACTTCTACCAAGTTGATTCACAATGACCTAAGGGACAGATTGGCACTGCCCCGGGGGTTCCAGGAGTATACATCTTAACGGGAATAGAAACCCTCACCTTTTTCCCACGGAGCTGTTTCAAGCTGCTTGCCTTCCAGGTTGAAAGTTCAACATGTGACCACTACACCGCAGGGCTCCTTCCTGGGACTTCTAGACATGTCTATTATTTTGATGAAGCCGAGTGCAGTTCCAGGCCTGGAGGGTGACTGAGGGCCACAATCTGCGGTGTCCCACTACCTCTATCCAACTAGTATACTTGGTCGGTTTCATAGTTTCTTCCAACGTTTCCCTCCCACTCCAGCCAGGTCTCTATCTTTTGACGCCTCCACACCATTCATTATTTTGCCCACAGAGTCCTTCATTATTACAGCTTGAGGCTAGGATTTTTTTCTTTTAGCTTTTTCAGCTTGATAAATGCTGAGTACTCTGTTTTCTCTTTTGTTTTTCTAACTCCAAGACACTGCACATTTATTTCATTATACTATTTCATTGTCTTCTCAAGCCACCCTTTGACGTGTCCTGTTGAACAGGTTTACGTCATCACTTCTGCCTTTCACTTTAACTAGTCTCCATTCATGAGCAGGTATCAGTCTCTTCTGACATCCCTTTTGGCCTTCTGTTCATCATTCCTGTCTATTTAATGACCTTCTGGTTCTTTATGTACGATGGCTTTGAGGGTCATCCCACAAGTCATTTGGTCTTCAGTCAGTAATGTTCAATACATCAAATATATTCTTGGAATAGCCTCTAAATTCAGGTGGAATATATTCAAGGTCCTGTTTGGGTTCTTGTGGACGTTCAATATTCTTCAGCTTCCATTTGAACTAGCACATGAGCAATCAAGGGTGGTTCTGCAGTCAACCCCGTGCCTTGTTCTAACTGATGTTGCTGAGTTTCTCCATCTTCTACGAATGTAGCTGATTTGATTCCTGTTCATTCCATCCTTCAAGGTCCATATGCACAGTCACCATTTACATTATTAATAAAAAGTATTTACAATGAATGATTCGTTGGTCTTGTTAAATTCTGTCATGTGAACTCCCATGTAGTTTCTATTACCGAGGTTATATATTCCAACTGTTAATATTTCTTTGTTTCCAACTTTCACATTCCAATCACCAGTAATTATCAATATATCTTGATAGCATGTTTGATCCATTTCAGACTGCAAAACTTGGCAGAATTCTCCCATGTATCACTAGTTTTAGTAAATTTGAACATTACTCACATTACTTGTACTTCCTTGTAGGTGTATGGTTATTACCCTATCATCAACTGTTTTTTTTTTAGTATCCTATCATTTATAGCACTGTACTTAGAGACCTTAAAATGTTCCTTGTAATGATAACTGTACGATGCCATGCCTCTTCCATTTGTCATTCCCGACTGTGGAAACAGCACAGGAGGTGGGGGCTTAGGGGAGGGGCCTAACTGACCTCCTCTGAATCACCAGATATAGTTATGTTAAAACTTAACATCTTATTTGCTTTTCCCTTTTGACCCATATCTAACTTATTCTACCTTTTAGTTATTTATTCTTTTAAAAATCATTTTATTGGGGGCTCTTACAATGTTACATAAATTGTATCAAGCACATTTGTACATATGCAGTCATCATCATTTTCTAAACATTCACTTTCTATTTGAGCCCTTGGTATCAGCTTCTTTTTCCCCTCCCAACTTTTTATTATTTTCTTTTGGATTGAGGTTTCTGTTTCCTTTTGAATTGAGGTTTTTCTGTGTTTTTTATTTTCTTGTTGGTTTGGGGGGGGGGCTGTTTGTTTGTTTGTATGGTTCTCTTTATATGAAATCCAGGATAGATAAATCTAGAGAGATAGTAACTAGATTGATAAGTCCATAGAGTTCTGACAGGGTAGTACGTTTGGGGAAAAGGGGGTACTAATAACAATGACTACAAAAATGACGAAAATGTCCTACAACTGATTGTGGTGATGACTGTACAACTCTTTCTAGTATTTTCAAACCACCAGGGAGGAAGGGGGCAGTCAGGCTTACTGATCCGATAGATCAGTGGAAACCCCAAGACAGGTGCCCTTAAGACACCCCTCAAGTCTGGAACTGCACCCACCCGGGAACAATGTTCAGTCCAACACTAGGCAGGCCTACAAAGTGAGTCATGGCACAGGGAGAGGTCTCTGTACAGTCAGCCCGACAAGACCGGACGGAAAGCTTGGGCAGCAAGACGGGCCGGAAAAGAAGGATGAATGAAACCCCGGGAGGAAATGAGGAGAGAGCTGTTAACGTTAGGAAGAGTGCCATCACCGTCACAAAACAAAATGTGTGTCGACTCATTTGCTCTAAACTCTCACTCAAACTACTAAGGAAAAGTTCAAAAAGGAGAAAAAGAAGTGCTACTATGTTCCCTAGAAAGAGTTCTTGGGATCCTCTGTCATGCTTCCACACCACTCTGCACAAATCTTCTTCAGATAGGTTACCGCCTTGTACTTTGTTTCTATTGCTCTCACTAGGCATGAAATTTCCTTGAGGGAAACGCATATTGTTTTTGTTGATTTGGGCACCAACTCCACCAAGCACTGTTTATTTAGCTGTAAAGAATCCATCTCGCAACAAATATACAAATGTGCTTGACACAATGGATGGATGGATGGACTGTGATAAGAGTTGTAGAGCCCCCAATAAAATGATTAAATAATAATAAAAATAAATTTAAAAGAATCCATCTCTTAGCCTTGTTCTTTTCCACGTTGTGCCTTGATGGGGTGGATAAAACACTGGAACAGGGCTCCCACCACAAAGGAGGATCTTGAAAGTTGGACATGCAAACCTCAAGTCAGGCTTAGAAAAGGACTGGGGCTCTTTCAAGTACTGTGACAGACTATTCCTTCTTTCCCCACTGCAGGTCCACTAGGCAAAGATCCCAGTTTTGGAAGGACCACTCTAGACAACTGGAAAGTTCCTGAGAGATTTCTAAGATTTGGGAGGAACCCAAGTCTCCTTCTTTAAAAAGTGAGTTTCCCCAAGTCTCTTCCTTGACAAAATGAGTTGACCCAAACTGTTTTAGTGTTTACCAAACCCCAGCCCAGAGAAGGAGACAAGCCTGTTAGCACGTAAAGTTCTCTTACAGTCATGCAGAGAACAAGGTCACAGCTAATGCTTTGCTGGAAGTACTGGGCTCTCCCTTTTTTCTCTGAGTGCCTTAAGGCCCCTCTGATCATTTATTACCACTTGGCGACCAATCAAAGCATTTGATGCTTCAGCCATTCTCCTGGTCAAATTTCCTTCTATGCTGTAATCTAGAAACCTGCTTCACAAAATTTCTGCAGTTTGCTGTCACTGACATTTGACAGTTTCACCTATTCCACACCCCAACTATTCCCCCTGTGGTAGGTAGACTCCCATCTCTCTTCCCTCCCACATCACAAGAGGGGCTCTCTACCCATCTACTTGTGCTCATTTAAACAGCAAATCGGGATTTCTCTTCTTGACTTCATTCACAGGCCAAGTGCTAATCTTGTCCTACATGCTTTTCCATTCAAATCCATCATTCACAAAATGATCTTCCTAGAGCACCACTTTCATTTTAGCATTTCCTTTTTAAGGTTGGTGACGAATGGTGAAAATGGGAACAACAACACAAGAGCAGCTGATGTTTGAGGGCTTACCACAGGTCAGACATTTACTTCATTTGACATCCATTCTCTTATTGAGCTCCCAAGCAGACCCACAAGGTATCTGACTTATTATATGCATTTTATAGATGACAAAACAAACACTAGATTGTTAGGATTATTCATCTGGGGTCTATACACCGAAAAGGAGCCCTGGTGGCACTGTCTGTTAAGCCTTGGACTGCTAACCATAAGGTCAGCAGTTCAAACCAACCAGCTGCTGCTCGGCAGAAAATTAAGGTGATTTGCTCCCACAAAGATTTAAAGAAATCTATCTGAGTCAGAATCAATGGCTGTGGGCGTGGGGTTTATATACCTGAAAGGTCTGTAAATGTGCCAGGACATTGTGAACCAACTCAAATAGATAGCTATGTCAGAAAGATGCGTGGAGGTGCATTTGGGGGTGGGGCGGGGGCGGGGTATGTAGCTTTTATTGGTATCTCGAAAGACGCACAACTTGAATGTGATTATTAACTGATGTTACCAGCTCAGGCATTGTCAATTAAAACAAAATAATATCCTGAACCTGGTGTGAGCTGTCCTTTGCCCAGTCAGTGTCCTCTGCTCCTTCGACAATCTTCTTTCCTTCTTTGGGAAGCCACTGACCAAGTTCACCAGCTTGTGTCGTTATTGCCTGCCTGGAATACCTCCCAGCTCCAAAACCTGCACAGGCACCCAAAGGCCCGACGCCAGACCCTCCATGAAGCCTTCCTGGTCTACTCCAGGCATCACGTGGCCTCTTAGCACACACACGACCATATATATCCTAAGAGGTACTTAGAGATCCTCTTTAGCCCCATTTTCTCACCCATTCCGATCACACAGACACAGCCCGACAGTCACCTGCTTCGCACTCCCTAACACCGTACACTCACCAGGAGACACACAAAGGCACTGTCACACTCATTAAGCGCCTTGTCACATCTCGCCACTTCATACCAAGAATTCCCCCTACGAGCCGTGTGTCCCGCACACTGGACCAGGACCACCTTCACTCGTTATTCCAGGTGCAACCTCGGACTCGGTCACCCACGCTCACCAGCTCCGTGTTCGACGCCACGGATTCTCACTGGCAAGCCCTCCTCTACTGACAGCCACTGACGCTCCCCCGACGCTCCGACGGACACCCAGCACCGCTCCCCGCGAGCCCCGCCTCACCCGATGCTGGTACAGACAGACGTTCCCGAAGCCGCCGGTGCCCAGCCGCTCCCGCATCTCCCAGGGCCCGCCCGCGCCCGGCCGCAGGCCCGGGGGCCCCTCCATGGGGCGGGATGGGCAGCGGCCACAGGCACCGCCGCGGTTCCCAGGCCGGTTCCGGGCCGCGGAGGCGCGCGCGTCCTCGTCTCGCGATATACGCGTCACTTCCGCTAACGGCCGCGGGAACCGCTCGCCCGAGTGCTCCGTCGCGCCCGCGACCCCGCGACCCCGCGACCCCGCGACCGCGCGAGCGCCGCGCTCGGCCCTCGCTAGTGACCTGGCTCAGAAGACCCGCCTGGATTTCCCAATTGTAAAGGATGCACGTTTGCCTCGGATCCTACATACCCTTCGTATCACTGTCCAATAGTTCCCTCATTCACTTTTTCCCTCCCAAACTTCAGGTTATCTCCTCGTGGGAAAAGATGAGGCTTTATCTTCCCTAAAGCTTTAGTCTCAGACATCCACAGGGGCTGTTCTACTGTCCGTGGGGTCCCCATGTGTCAGAATTAGGTGGCAGTGAGGTGTACCCTTCTCCTTTTCTCAGACCCTTGCCTTGTACCCTCCAATCACCTGCACTGAAGTGGCACGGGCTAAGACACTCACCTCCCCGCCCGCTCCCCACCCCAACACACACCCCTACGTTTTCAAGGTTTAGGAATCTGAAACACCAGAAAAGATCCAGCACTAACAGGACCATTGGTCCGCGCCTTACATGTGTCTTTTGTAAGAATGCTGCATAGGCTCCGTTAAAATAAAAAGCGTCCGGGATGGTGTGCCCCAGCTCCACGATCTTCGAGCTTGAGGACTCCATTTCTTCAGGTGTAAAACGAGGATAATCTACCTCATACAGATTTATGGAGGGCTATATAAGGTGTCCTGGCAGTTTAGTGGGTTTTACATTGTGCTGCTAACCACAAGGTAAGCAGGTGCAAGCCATCAGCCACTCCATGGGAGAAACCTGCGGCTTTCCACTCCCGTCAAGTCAGCCTTGGAAACCCATACGGACAGTTCTATGCTGCCCTACATGGTCGCGATGAATCGGAATCAACTTGGTGGCAATGAGTTTGTCATACATATATGTCATATATCGTGTCATATATATAGTATCATATATAGTGAGGCTGCCTCCCCAAACATTTAAAATTTTACAACCTACAGGGGCGGTTCTACTGCCTGATAGGATAGGGTCATTATGAGTTGGAATCCACTATGGAGTTTATAAAGAATACTCGAATTAGAAGACTCATCAACAACCTCAACGTCGCAACATAACATTTCTACATAAAATAAAACAAAAATTTTCCCAACTGGACCAATAGGCAGCATGATAAATGGAGAAAAGTAGTGATGTCGAGGGTTCCATTTTACTTGAACCCACTGCCACTGTCCAAAGCAGCACTGGTCAAGAAATCACACAACATGTTGCATCGGGCAAGTCTGCTGCAAATGAGCTCTTTAAAGTCACCTTTAGGACTAAGGTGAGCTTGACCAGCCATGGTATTTTCATGTCTCAGGCATGCAAAAGGTAAGCAATGAATAAGGAAGACTGAAGAATTAGAGCCTCTGAATGATAGTATTGATAAGAACACCAAACGTATCATAGGTTAGCAGAATGATGACTGTAAAAAAAAAGAACAAATCTGTCTTGGAAGAAATGAAGCCAGATGTGAAGATGACTTCATCTTATTGTTTTAGATATGTCATCAGAAGGATTAGCCCCTGGAGATGGATCTCATACTTGGTCAAACAAAGCGTCAGTAAAAGAGAGGAGACCCTAGCGGAGGAGTGACACAGTGGCAGGAACAATGGGGTCAAACCGAGTGACAATTGTGAGGATGGCATAAAACCGGGCAGTGTTCTGTTCGGTTAAACACAGGACGTTAGGAGTCATAACTGGTTCAACAATACTTCCAGTAACAAGACAGTGTCTGGGCTAGAGTCTAGTTGATTCTAACTCAAAGTGACACCACAGGACCAAGCAGAACTGCTCCATGAGGTTTAGGAATGTCACACACAGTAGAGAAATACACAACAATCGTTTGGTTTTTTTCTTTCAACCATCTCTTGGGGTCTCTCTGCTTCTACTCCATTACTTCATCTCTAAGCACTCTGTAAATAGAAGTATTTCTCAGGTAATCATTTTTTGCTTAAAACTTTATTCACTCCTATTTTCATCCATTCTCTGATCTTTGGTGATCCTCAAGTTCTTATCAGCAATCAAAATTTCCGTGCGTTAAGAATGATCCAACAGCACACAGGAAACATTATAAATCTTAATCATCTAAAATTAACATCTCCAAAGCAGAACTCATTTTCTTTTTTAAAATCAGATCCTCTCTTCCTAATTAAACTATTGGACAACAGGGACTATGTTCGGACAAGGCTATAACCTCTAGTGTAGAAAAATGCTTGGCACCCAAGAGTTAAATATTTGCTGAGGGACGAATCTTTTATGCATCAATAAAATGACTGCAACAAGGGAAAAATGTCAAAGGCCTTGGGTCCCTTCTCCAAACTAGGTTGCTGAGGGAGAAGCACCCTGTGTGAGTCTGGGATAATTTCTAGACCTAAAAACCACATTATCTGAAACACACATTACCTATATCAATGACCAGGGGTAACATGAACAAGACACTTCTCCGCCATGGAAAAGCTTTTGGATTTTATTTAATATTTTACATGTTTTTTAAAATGTTGATAAACACAAGCTTGTAGCTGGACAACACACATGCTTATAGCTGTTACTTCTTCTGAAAAGTACTCCGTCCTAGGCCTCTAGCTGTAGGCTGGTTCCATGGGAATGCATGAAAGAGGCAGGGAAAACAGTCCCCATGGGAGATGGTTTCTTTTAAAACAGGTTGATGAACCTGTGAAGGTTAGTCATCTAGAGTGAAGTCAAAAGGCTCAAAGGCTTTCTGGAAGCGGCGGGCGTGGGTCTCTTCCTCTTCCTTGCTGATCTGACATTGCCTCCAGTCAGACTTGTCAGGAATATTAAGGATGGCTTCACTAGCCAGAACCTCTCTGCAGAAAGAGCACAAAGAAGTCAAAATGGACACCCCCAACCCCCTCCTCCTTCTGTTCCTCTCCAAACAGAGGCTAACCTTGTCATCATCCAAAGAACATTCGTGCATCCCAGACTTTGCTTATACTCTTCTCCTCCCAAGTGCCACTGCTGCCATCATCCTGACCCTCAAACCACTCATTTTACATGACCAGCTCAGCTTCTCTCTCTCCTAATGCCTCAAATCCTGTTGGTTAGCTTCTCTTCATCGTAAATACCGTATATACTAGAGTGTAAGCTGACCCGAATATCATCCGAGGCACCTAAGTTTACCACAAAAACTTCATGAAAAATGTGCTGAAAAACTCGGCTTATACATCAATATATACATAACTTGAAATGATGCCATTGGCACTTAAGAGAAACAACATGGCAGAGTAGAGAGAGGGTAAGCCTTAGAGTCAGAAAGATCAGAGATGGAATCCACTCCTGGCTCAGCCTTCTCTCTGACTTGAACAAATTACTTCATCGATGAGTCTTGATTTCTTGGTCTATGAAATGAGAATACAGTGATCCCTTGGATCTGAGGGGGACTGGTTCCAGGAGCCTGTTGGTCATCAAAATCCTCCAGTGCTCAAGTCCCTTACATAGAATGCCACCACATTTATATATAACCTATGCAGACCCTCCTGTATACTTTAAATAATCTCCAGATTACTTATCCAGGAGCCCCAGTGGCATAGTGGGTAATCCACTAGCAAGTGGCATAGTAGGTTCATATCCACTAGCAAGATAAAATCTATAAAATCACTATGAGTTGGAATCAACTCAATGGCCATGTGTTTTCAGTTAGATTGCTTATAATCCCAATTACAGTGTAAATGCTCTTGGCCTTTGAGGAACTGCTTTGACCAGTTATGTGCTTTTTCTTCGCCAGAGTATTTCAAATCTGCAGTTCAATGAAGCCACTGAATTCAAGGCTGTGGAACTCAGCACACAGAAGGATATGACCTACCTTACAAGACTTTGTGAGAAGTGTAGTTAACAGAGTGCATAGTAGCTGTGACGACAGTCTGCCTGAAACTCTAGTTTTGACATCCCGAATACATCTTGAGTTTGCTGAGGGCCTGCTACACTCAGGTACTTAGTGTCATGCCCACTCTGACTTGGAATTCCTCTGTCTCTCCTCTTAAGAACTTGGATCTGGATAGACACAGCAGCATAAACTGGCAACGAAACACCTTATCTTGGCCCTAGGGCTGAAAAATAGCTACACACACACACACACACACAATGCCGCTGTATACTAGCTTTCTCTTAACTGCCATTGCTTTTTTATCTTTACTTGGATTTATTCTGATATGTTAGAAATAACTCTTTGCATATCTATATAGGTCCATCACAGTTGTGTCAAACTTAAGTAGGACTGTGATGACAGCACAAGACTGGGCAGTAGATTTCCCTCTGTTGTTCGTAGGCCCACTGAGTTAGAGGTCACTCCATGGCACCTCACAACATGGCCACATTCCCTTTTGAAGCTCAAATTAACAGAAGAGTTGAATCGTCATCACACAAACCCTGTAAAACTCAAAGGACCTGAACTCAAGTTCTAGTTCCCTAGGCAAACCTTTACAGGAGCCCTGCTGTCATAGTGCGTTACAAGTCGGACTGCTTAACCACAAGGTCAGTAGTTCAAAACCACCAGCCACTGAGGGAGAAGGAAGAGGCCTACTCAATGGCAGTGAGAGGCAAAACGCTGAGCCTACATCTTCATTTTAAAATGAAGACAGCACTACCCTTCAGATAAAGCAGTGGTTCTCAACCTGGGGGTCGCAACTCCTTTGGGGTCGAACCACCCTTTCACAGGGGTTGCCCGATTCATAAAAGTAACAAAATTAGTTATGAAGTAGCAACGAAAATAATTTTATGGTTGGGGGGCTCACCACAACATGAGGAACTGTATTAAAGGGTAGCGCATTAAGAAGGTTGAGAACTACTGATATAAAAAGCTTCTTTAAAAGATCCCAATTCTACCTTGCAAACCTGGTTAGACCAGAGGATGCACAGCGGTACAGATGGGAACTGGAAACACAGGGAATCTAGGACAGATGAACCCCTCAGGACCAGCGGTGACAGTGGTGATACCGGGAGGGAAGAGGGGTAGAAAGGGGGACTGGATCACAAGGATCTACATATAACTTCCTCTCTGGGGGATGGGCAACAGAAGGGTGGGTGAAGGGAGACACCGGGCAGTGAAAGATAAGATATAATAATAATTTATTAATAATAATAATTTATTAAGGGTTCATGAGGGAGGGGGGAGCAGGGAGGGAGGAGGGGGGAGGAAAATGAGGAGCTAATTCCAGGAACCCAAGCGGAAAGCAAATTTTGAGAATGATGAGGGCAACAAATGTATAAGTGTGCTTTACACAACTGATGTATGTATGGATTGTGATGAATTGTATGAGCCCCAATAAAATGATTAAAAAAAAATACTCGTCAAGTACTTTGTCACACTGCTCTGACAACTGTAAATAGTACTTTGGAAAATACTTGATGTTGAAAACATAATCAACTATCATGAGCACAAAGTCACTCAGAGAATCTCCCTTGTGTGGACCCCATATCTTCAATCATGTGCCTATGTCACCAGGGCCCAAGGCTGCATCTGTGGCTGAGTTAACAAAAAAGATGTCATTAACTATGCTTAAATATATTCTTCTTTATTATCTTTTAAAAAATGTAGACAGCTATATTTATTGGACTTAATGTTGGCAATCTCTTGGAGGTTTCTCAAAGTGGTCCAATACGAGTTGCAGGCCCACTCAAAGGCCAATTCTAACTTGGGGGAAAAAAAACTGCAAATTACAGGCACCAGCATCAGTCTCTATGTGTTTTCCACTTCGCTCTATATCTCTATCTCTATACTCCTCTTCTCTTGACAGCTCCTCCCTGTCCTCCATCATTGCTTAACTTACACTATCCCACGTATGGTTTTAGAGCTGTGATTTTCAACCTTTTTAATGCCATGAGCCTTTAATACAGTTCCTCATGTTGTGGTGACCCCCCAACCATAAAATTATTTTCGTTGCTACTTCATAACTGTCATGAATCGGACAACCCCTCTGAAAGGGTGATACTACCCCGTTTTAGAGTCACATACTGCTTGATCAAAGGACGAAAATGAAGGCTTATCTGGGCCTTTAAATTAGTACAGAATAATGAGGCTCAGGCCTCACATTTTAGGGTCTAACAGGCCTGAGTCTGAACATGCCACTAAGAGACCAAGGACATGGTATCCAACTGTTGTCCTCGAGAACCATATAATGCAATAAAGGAGCCCCTTGTCGGGTATGCTTAATTAAAGTCTCAGTTCCTCAGTCACATGAGCCATATTGCAAGTGCTCAACAGCCACACGTGGGCAGTGATCACTATTACTTGACACGGTAGCTACACAGCGTTTCCATCCTTGTGGAAAGTTCTGTGGAGCTCTGCTCTAGCCCTCACTGTCCACATCAGTAACTGGGAATGGAGACACTTACCTACCCAAGCTGTGAAAACAATGACGTCAATAAAGCTCTTGGCCTCGAGCAAATGCTAAATCAATGGTACCCCTTTGCTATTTTGGCTACTATTTCACCCCAATCTTTGCCTTCTATATCTCTCTAACAGGTCCAGTTTCAATCCTTTCTTGAATGAATTCCCCTTTTCTGAATGTTTAAAGTACTTTGTTCTCCCAAATTTAGTCATACTTTTCATTCTACATCTTACTGCTATATATGTAAATATCTGATTTATCCCAAGACTGTAGAGTCTCTGGGACAAGGGCTGTTTCTTATTTTGCTTCGTATCGATTTTCCATGAAGTCTGACATTTCGTTCAGAGTAGGACTAGTAAAAATATATTTAAAAGAAGAACATACAAACCTTCCAAACTGCAAAGGAAAATGCCTTTTAATTCTGTGGAAGAGCTTCGCTCCTGTATCAAGTTCAACATAAAAGTAAGCTGCTCCTGGCTGTGCAATCTAAATAAATAGAGTTGTATGAGAACATAAAAATAAATTCTTAACTAGTCTAAAATCTCTGCTTATTTCCTATATAAGCTTTCATTTGGTTCAAACAAACAAACAAAACCCATCTAGAAGGACACGGTGAAAAAAGGGGGAGGGCAAGTAGCCATAGATTCTATATCACTTAGTGGATCTAGATTTTTTCAAAAGCCAAACTGGCCACTATCAATTGCTCTGAAAATTATCACAGTAGAAAGTGCTGGACAGAGTGGGAGACAAATGTGGAAGAACTCAAAGTCAAAAAAGAGACCTGGTTTACTGGTCATTTAGAGACTGGTGGGACTCCTCAGATGGTGGCCCATAGTCACCCTTCAGGTCTGGAGCTCATTTATGATGGAAAGGGCAGCATTTACCGGAGGACAACGTCCAGAGAGTTAGGAAAGGAGGAGTAATGGAACTTGGGGAGGAAATGGGATGAGTGATGGTACATTGAGGGAACAGCAATTGATGAGTTCACATAAAATGTGTACGAATTGTTGAACGTAAAATTGACGATTGCTTCTATAAACCTTAAACCTTCACCTATTTTACAATAAAATTTTTTTGTGAGCCAAACTGGCAGATATTACCCAGATCTTATAAGTGGCATTCATCCACCTAAATTCCCACCTTATGAAATTTCTAATGTCTTGTTCTTCCTAGAAAGCACAACAACTTATATGTAATGGCATCATTTTTATAATGAAGTTATCAATTTTAACATGGTGGTAGTGGGGTTTACATTTCAGACCATCAATTTTGCATTCATCAACACCCGTAAAGTCGCCCTAACCATCAAGTCTAATCAAAACTCTGTGCTCTAGTTCCAAATTGTCACTTGCCTGCTTAATATTTCTGGAATGCCTTGACAGTTCCTCAGATCACTATGTCAAAAACCAGACCTATACTCCCCCAGAACATCACCATCTCTCCCCTCTCACCTGCTTGATGTCGGAATGCTCCGGAATTTCTAACAGCTCTATCTGTTGCTCCTGAGCCTGGGAAATGAAGGCATCTTTAATGTCATCAGTAGCACAGCAGCTCAGTGGCACAGGAATGACCTGGGGGAGGGGAGCAAGGCAGGAGACTTTCTCAGTGCAGGTCCCAGGGAGGATGTGCCTGCACAGTGCCTGCAAAGTAGCAAATCCATCACTGGGGTGAAGAAACACCCCTCAGCACAGCTTCTCCTCATGCCAGGCGGGCCTGGGTTGGCCTGTCTGTAGGTCTTAAACTTATGAGCTAACTGTCAGCATGTGGGAGCCAATCTCTGAGGCGAGAAAAGCTAGAGAGAGATCTCTTTCTCATCAAGCCTTTGCCAGTTCCTATGTAATCTATGTGGCAGGGTCAGGCCCATTTGAAAACTTAACAAATGGGCCAGAAGGAAAACCGCCACAATGACAAATCACCCTAAGAGTCTCCAAATGTCTGAGAGCTGTTGGCCACAGGGGGCTCTGGGAGACTGATGTCCTACCTGCCTGCCCCGCCCCACTGCCCCACGAATACGCCCTCTCTATCTATGTATGTATGTATCTATCTATCTATCTATCTATCTATCTATCTTCAGGACTCCATCTTTCAAGGCCCAAATCCCCTTCAGAATCCTCTTCAACAACCATTCCTTTCCACGCAAGGTACTTGCTGTCTTGGCTGTTCCCTTGTACTTCCCTAACCTTTTAAGTGAATGTTAAATATTAACACGAATTTTCTATTAAGTGCTTTCAAAACTGAAGTATTTAAATATTAGTTAAAATTAAATACCAACATTGACATTATTTTTTAAAAAGTACATAGTGCTTACATCATATCTGCATCAATATCAGAGTCCCTCCGCGTTCCTAGGCAAGGACCACCTACCTGCAGCTGGAGGTGATGGCTCTTGTAATTTCTCTCAAATAAAACACACCGTTTCCCCCGACTCCTGAAGAAGCGCCTCAGAGTAGCCTTATATTTCTCCACTTCTTCTACCACCTCTGTCGAAAGCTCCACCACTGACTGGTAGTGGCCAATGGGCAGGATTAGGACATGGTCATCACACAGGCCTCCTTTGGCCAGAGCCAGGTAGCACTGAGAAGGAAGCACAGACAGTGGAGACTGTGAAACAGCACATGTGATTTTCCAGGATAAAAGCAGCACGTGTGATTCTCCAGGATAAAAGGAGCACGTGTGATTCTCCAGGATAAAAGCA